CACCATCGACGACAGCAGCGGCGCGACCATCGAATGTCACGTCAATCTCCCCAAACCTAACAATGCAAATCCCGGAGCGGTCAATCTTGCGCAGGCGGACAAGCCCAAGGCTATCTCAGCAGAGGACCAGCGGAAGGCGGAACTGATCGGGGCGGAGGTCAATGTTGGAGACATCATCGACGTCAAGGGGACAATCCGGGTCTACCGCGAGACGAGACAGATCAAGGCGGAGAAAATCAAGCATCTCCGATCTACAGAGGAAGAGGTGCAGTTCTGGGAGAGAATCACTGCGTTGCGCAAGGAAGTTCTCGACAAGCCATGGGTTTTGGATCCGAAGGTTGTCCGGAAATGTCGAAGAGACGCGGAGGGGTACGACGCGCAGCAAGCTAGGAGGGAAAAGAGGGAACGGCGAGAGAGACGGGCAAGAGAGAAGGAGGAAGAAGAGAAGCGGGCTCGTGCGGCGAGAATGACGGAGGAGGTGGGACTCCGCAGAGAGACGGAGAGGACGGCGGGGATCCTCGGTGCAAGGAAGCCTAAGATTCGGGCCTCTGGGTTGGAGAAGAGACCAAAGGCTGCGAAGGTGGCGGGGCCTATCACGGGACAGTACAGTGCTCTCGGGCTGTGAACTTCTACGATTTCACTCCATGTCTCAGGTCTGAGTGTCGTGTGCGCATTTTGGGCTGGCGACATTCCAGCAGCAGTCTGGGGCCATCCACCCGAGTCACGGCGATGACGGTTCGGGTGAGGGGTGTGGTCTCGCTAGGCGAAAACTTGGATTGAACCAGACCGGTCTGGACTGAGTGCGGGCACACACTCTTGTTGGACACTTCGCAGCTGAAGCAATCAATATCACGGAATGTCTGAATGACGCAGGTCAGTCGAGAAAGACCCAGAGCTTGAATCCTTGAATCAGGGTCTTTGCCTCACTACAAGGTTCCGATCCACATCGCTCAGCTCTTGCAGCTCGCACCTACCTTTCCTGCGAGTGGCGGCACGACCACCATGACCGTCTGTCAAACCACGGTTGTGCCTTACTCAAGTGTCAAAATATTGCTCAGGGCCGCTTCCATCATGTGTTCGGCCCCGAATCGCGAATTGGGCGAAGTTGCGGGTTCTCCATCTCATATATGCACGCGACGGTGGGCGGTTCGAGCTCCAGTGCAAACTCAACAACTCAAACCTAACCTCAAAGATTCTTATTTCGCCCCTACGAAGAGCTTCCGCCCCTTGCCACTTGGAGTTTCGATTCGGAACTGCTGTCGTCAATTGACCTCTCCCAGCCGCGGCCAGGCTCAACTCCACCGCGCATTCCAGGACTTCCTGGCTAAAGGTACGCACACCTCCAAGACACCCGACATATAAGTTGAGGCACAGCACGCGCTCTGCATTCCCAACCGTCCGTTCCAGTCAATGTCTCAAGCCACGCTTTCCGATCCCTTGGAGGAAAGGCGACTGCGATTTAAGTGGAAGAGTGGAAGTGGTTGAAGACGCGACCGCGTTTATAACGCCAGGGGCCCATACACACGAAGGCCCCAGCTGCCCACGGCTTGAGCTTGAGAGCTTGATATGCCATCACCGATAACACATGGTGTGGAACATGACAGCTTTGTTGATCTTGCTGACGTTGCTGCAGGGTGTCGTCTGTCTGACGACGGGCACTCACGGCGAGCAACGTCACTGGCATCGCCGCTATCGATATCCTCGAGAAGCGCAAGTCACCCATCATCAACACCAAGCTCGGCAACAGAACCCGCTAGACTACGATCTGGCCACTAGTACGACAACGGTCACGCTCTGCGGGGAGGACCAGGGCCAGAACGAAGAGTGGTTTCGGCAAGCGAAAACGAGTTCGAGGTCCTATCGGTTTAAATCCCTGAACTACGATCCTCTCACCTCAACGGCCAGCGTCATCACCGTCGCAGAACCTACAGGGGTAGCTCAGATTCTTCCGAGCAGCAAGGAACCTGATACAGGCACCGTTCAGACGACCCTCGAGACAGAAGGACATGCCACTACGCAGCCTATTTTGACAGCGCCTATTCCGTCGCCCACAACCGTCATATCGACCCCTTCGACATCCCTGCCAAATCCAACGGCCGAACCCACAATCGAAATGGGCTCCTCGGACATCTTCGCGAATCCCATTGGGACCGACTCCCCGCCGTCGAGCATTAGCCGGAGGCAGGACCATCCGGCGCCACGGCTGGGTATCGAGAACCCAACCATGCCGGTCCAGACGAACAAATTCTACGCCAACTTCTTCTTGGGAACACAGCAATCTCCAGCCTACCTTTTCCCGTACGCTGTCGCTTGGGCTAAAGGGAAAGGGGCATCAGGCAGCTGGGGCATGGCCATATCCCATGTCCCAGCCGACCAGAGGCTTTTTGGCCCCACGTCCTCCGATACAGGGGCCGCTCGGTACTACATCAGCCCAGCTGGGATTCAGTCCCTCGTGCTATCCGCGAAGGAGCTGGGAACCAGCACCGTCTTGACAACCGACCAACACACGGACTTCTCGGTCCGTGTCAACCTACGCCCCAGTCCGGGTATGCCGCCAGCGATACAATTTCCACTGGTTCAAGGCTCCGCCTTCATCACCGCCATCTACGCTGGCGCAACTCCTGTGATACAAACTGGTGTTTTCTTCAAGACGGTAACTCGGTCAACCAAGGAGACCAAGCCAGGCGTCACCAAGTACAGGTTCAATCTGGAGGACGGCACCACCTGGTTCCTGTACGCGCACCACATCAAGGGTGACCCCTTGGATCTGGTGGTTGCCAACAATGGCGTTGCGCAAGCGAAGGGGGCGTTCTATGGAACTATCCAGGTTGCCAAGGACCCCGGAAACGGCGAGGCTCTGTTCGATCAGGCTTGTGGGGTTTATGCCACTGGGGTTGAGCTTTCTGGGAGCGTGAAGGACACCACTAGCGCGTACATGTTCAAGTTCCAAAGGGCAGGGATGTCTAACGCGACGCTCGCCATGTATGCCCTGCCTCATCACCAGAGTTCTTTCGACTCAGCCACACGGACGAGGCTTACTCCCGTCGAGTTGGACACCCCGACAAAAGGAGTGGCCAAGGTTGTGCTGGCTGATACATGGACCATGGTAGAGCCAGATGTGCCCGTCAGCCTAGGGTTCGTACCGTGGCTGCCACAGACCGGAAGTCTCAGCACCATTTCCGACTCAGCGAAGAGCTTCATCCACAACATCGCTCTGCAGGAACTGTCGCAGAACATGACCAAGCAGACCGATCAGGACTCAATGTACTTCAGCGGAAAGGTGAGGCTCACTGGTATAGGACTTTTCACACTCAGGAGGCTAACAAGTCATAGGCGTTGGCGAAGTTCGCATCCATTGTCTTAGCGGCCAGCGACATTTTGGACGACAAGCCACTGGCTGCTGCTGGTCTCGGCCAGCTCAAGATCGCATTCTCTCGTTTCACCCAGAACAGCCAGAAGTATCCGCTGGTGTATGAATGTGAGTGTTGACCCTTCCCTGTCATCCAAGACAAATCTGACACTGGCTCAGCTGCTTGGGGAGGTGTGGTCTCTTCGGCCGCGTACGTAACAGGGGATGCGGGTGCCGACTTTGGCAATAGCTACTACAACGACCACCACTTTCACTATGGCTATTTCATCTATGCCGCTGCGGTCATTGGACATCTCGACCCCGCCTGGGTCCCTGTCAACAAGCCTTACATCGATATGTTGGTCCGCGATATTTCCAACCCGAGCGCCAAGGACAAGATGTTCCCTATGTGGAGATGTTTTGACTGGTACCACGGTCACAGCTGGGCGCACGGCCTCTTCGAAAGCCTGGATGGAAAGGTATGCCAAAGAAGAAGCAAGGCGTTAGACCTCATGCTAACACGATGATCAGGACCAAGAGTCGAGCTCGGAAGACTCGATGCATGCATACGCCATCAAGATGTGGGGCACGGTATCCCAGGACGCAAACATGGCCGCCCGGTAAGCTTCCTCCGTGTGGTTTTTCGATACAACTACTAACTGGCGGAATCAGAGGCAGTCTCATGCTCGCTGTGCAGGCACGGTCGTTCCGCGACTACTACCTGTACCACAGCAGCAACAAGGTCCAGCCCCCTGAGTTTGTTGGCAACAAGGTGGCAGGCATCTTGTTCGAGAACAAGGTCGACCACACCACGTACTTTGGTGGGAACATAGAGTATATCCAGGGCATCCACATGCTGCCCCTGTTGCCGCACACACCGTATATCCGGCCGCAGGACTTCGTGACGGAGGAGTGGAACACCTACTTCGACAAAGGGCGCGCCGAGGACGTCGTAGGTGGATGGAAGGGCATTTTGTTTGGAAACCTGGCGACGATTGATCCGAAGGGTGCATACACCTTCTTCAGCTCCAAGGATTTTGATCCGAGCTGGCTTGATGGTGGCGCAAGTTTGACATGGTATTTGTGCTATGCTGCTGGTAAGTTCAACGTCCCGTACTGAAGGACCGGTGTGGCGTATTCTAACATGCGATGTAGTTTTGGGAGGTCTCTGACGGGCCCTCTGTCGCTCTGGCGTCGTACGCCTTATTCTGTATTGCTTGTTGCATGTTTTCTCCCAGTGGCATGGCTTAAAATTGGTTTCACTGCATGGTTGGAGTAATTGAGGGCAAGGCAGCCCTTTGTGTACCTAGATAGGATGGTCACTTGGCATACCTAAAAGATATCAATTTTGAAGCATCTCGGTTCAAAGTAGCATGTGTGTCGAGGCGTGGGCTGAGAGAGGAAAGAATCCATGTTTAAGATGCGGCGAGACGGACGGAGCGGGTTTGCCTTGGTAGGCGACTCAAGACTTCCAAAGTCGAATAAGTGATGAGATACAAACAAGCCCTCTGTCAGTGCTCCAGACAGCAATCGACCACCAACCCCTGACCTCCACAACCCTCGCGCCATTCCCGTCCCTCTCCACCACAGATTAGAACCCACATAAAGTGCAAATTTTCACCCAACCTACCCATCCAATAACCAGGCACACGCCCGGCTAGCTCAATCGGTAGAGCGTGAGACTCTTATGGGATTTCACTTTCCAGTCGTTCTCACGAGATCATCTCAAGGTTGTGGGTTCGACCCCCACGTCGGGCTCAATTCCCGGCGATTGCCATCTTTTTGTCACTATTTTGCGGTCATTTTGCCTCTCGTTGTCTATATACAGTCTATCGACATAGGAAATATACAATGTGCCCGTCTAGGAACCTTGACTCTGTTTGTCCCCTTTGAAATTACCTCCCTCTCTATATACACTATCTACCCCTCTCATACCCCCTCGCTATCCTCACCGGGTGCGCCTCGGTGTTATACACAAACTGATTCGTATGATCCGCTTGCACCTGCCACACGGCATCGTCCGAAAACATCAGGTACAAATACTTGAGCACCTCCGCGAACCAAAACGTCTCCTGCGCGTCCGTGTACCCGTCCCCGTTCCGCTTATTCACGTTCATGACGCCCGAGTACCCGCTGCCGACCTTGCAGGCCTCCCGGATGGCGAGGAAGGCATCCCAGGCCCACTCTTGGTACTTGGTGTCGCCGGTGGCGCGGTACGCGTAGTAGTAGGACTCGACGACCTCGGGGCGGAGGATGTAGTACCCCGAGTCGACCCAGAAGCCGGCGCGGGAGTAGAACTCGGCCTGGTCGGACGGGATGGGGTTCTGCCCGGGGTAGGAGGAGGAGTTAAAGGGGATACGGTCATCCTGCCAGGAGAAGACCTCGGGGCCGATGTGGGTGGCGGTGGAGGCGTAGGTGTTGTGGCAGGAGTTGACGAGCTCGAGGCCGAAGTTGGTGTACTCGGGCATGTCGAGGGTGAGGCCGCCGAGGATGAAGTTGCCGCCGGCGAAGCAGGCTAGGTGCTCGGAGACGAAGCGCAGGGTGTTGGCGTCCTGCCACATGGCGAGATAGGTGAGGTCCGGGCGCGAGGAGGGGTGGGAGATGAGGTGCCTCATGGAGGAGTCAGCGGCGAGGATCCAGCGGTGCTTGTAGTGGGCGAAACGGGTCGGGTCGTAGAGGTACATCTTGATGAGGTACTCGTAGAAGGAGTCGTCGCCGCCGCCCCAGCCGCCGTGGGAGTTGACGAATTGGCCGTTGGAGATTCGGACCTCGTTGCCGAGGAGGCCGGGGAAAGGCTCGCCGACGATTTTGGGGGTGGGGGTGAGGAGGTAGCTTTCGGCGCGCTGGGCGAGCTGGCCGTAGAGGGGGTTTCCCGTGATGTCGCTGAGACGGGTCCATTCGAGAACGAGGGTGCCGATGGTGGCGATGCTGTTGGTCTGGGAGCCGGCTTTGCGGGGAGGGTCGAAGTAGAGCTCGTTGTCGGGGACTCCGCTGGGGGTGTCGAAGGCGACTTTGAGATTGTCGGCGAGGTGCACCGCCTGGTCGAGGATGGCGTTGACTTCTTTCCTATCCCGCGTCTTGCCCGTGACGTTGCCCGTCATCAAGTCGTAGGCAGAGATCAACCCGCCGAGATAGCGAATGGTTGTCTCAAACAGAGAAACCGACTGGTTGGTGTAGTCAAAGTTGATCGTGGGGATGTAGTCCAGAATCTGATCAACCACCTTAAAGTTCTGCATCACCAACGCCGTGCTCAGGGCATCAACCGCACTCGCACCCCATCCGTTCCTGTATGGTGCTCGTCAGTGACACCCCGAAGGCCCCCGAGTACCGTACAACCAACCTGTCATCAAAGAATGTGTTGCTCACAGGCCGCAAAGAGTCGTGCGGGAATGCGTGCTTGTAGTACCCGTCCCACGATAGTTGAAACGCCGCTTTAATCGCATCCGCTCTCGCATGGTGGGAGACGTATTGGGGAGGGTTATACCGCCCCGCCGTGTCCCTGGGCCTGTGATCGCGACGCTGAGGGGGTGAATTTCCAGTCGCCGCCGCCGCCGCTTGGTTCCCTTCTAATCCAAAGAGTGCAGCCACGAGGGTAGTAAGCGCTACCGCCGGGTGAGTACCAAAGAGAAAAAGCATCGTCGCTGCGCTTCACCCAGGGTGATGACGCAGGGCGCGAGGGAGAAGGGGGGTCCGAGGGAGAGTAGGGCAGGGGCAAGGGCAGGGAGAAGAACGCAACGCAGCCTGGATACCGCTAAGATCAGGGAGGCGCAACGTATGCAGAACGACGAGGGGATGGATATATATATGGGGGACATTGGTACAACAGAAAAAAGGAGTACGGGGTCCCCGTGAGATGGCGCGGGTACCGGCGAGGGATAGGTAGAATGCGCGCGGATTCCTCGACCCTCACCCGCGGCTGGCAGACGGCGAGGGAGTCCGACGGTGCCATATGTCATGGCAGCTTGTGCAAGGCACCGCATAGACTGGAACGACATATGTAAGTGATCTGTCTGTTGGGCGTTGAGGACCTGCGCGAGCGTGCCCGTCGACGCCCATACATGCAGGACGAGCGACTAGCTCAGGAGGGAGCAAACCTGCCGTCGGTGGCGTGCAATCCTGGGCCAGGACACAACAAGAGGTCTTCATCTGAGACATTCTAGCGCTTCCTCGTCACACTCCTAGACTTGTAAGATTTGCGATATCTTGTTGCTTCGACAAAAAAAAGACACCGCAAGCCGAGACGGCTTACAGTTCGGATGGTGAACGTCATGATTGGCCAATGACCCCTGATACCTGCCTAAATGAGTAGGTAGGAGGAGCACACACACACATGAAAAAAATGGCTTCCGGAACGCTACCCAACCAGTGCCAACATAGGGCGAGTTTGGTCCACCAGACCACGCACTACCGACATGGTGCGTGGCTGGTGTCTGAGAGCCGCAGCGGAGGTGTGACATCGCCGGCGGCCGATGACGGTAAGGCGAAAGGACGGACGAAGATCATGTCCCTTTGCCAAACCGGGTCCGAACTTTGTAGCTCGCAACTTTTGTGTGACATTCCCACCCTTGCAGGAGGCTGAACTGGAATGCATGCTTGGTGGACGTTGGAGTAAGAGACGGGATGGCGGAACTCTGCGACCCTAATAGATGGGAGAAATGCAGCCTCCAAGCCCATTTCCCCGACTCCCGCACGCCACCCGCAGCCACGCGACTCGAGTACCGGTGGTGGTGGGCAACATCGAATCCGTCTCGAGCGCAGCTTCCACAAAAAGAAGCCGAGCAAGGCTATCCGCTCTATCACACCTAAGCGGCGCTAGGAGACTTTCCTTGCGCTGTCGTGCCTTGCCCCTCAATGCAAACACACTTGATGGTCAGACAGCAGCCAGACCGGCACAACTAAGGCAGGTCCAGGGTTTTGCAGACGCGGTGAGACCCGGTACCGCGGATCGCAACGGTCAGTTGAGAGAAGAAATGGCCAGCATGAGGGACACGCAGGGCAGTGGCCGGATCCCAAAACGGCTAAATTGGCAGCTGTCTTCCCGATAAGGAGAACTACATCCTAGATGAGGAAGTTGTCGGAGGATCATGGGAGTTCCACCACATGCGCCGCCCCCGCTCCCGCGTGCGTCTGGTGATAGGAGCTGCGTCGGGTACCCGAGCTGCCGACGCCGAACTTGCGGGGCAGAGAATTGATACTCGAACTGTCCTGCCGGGTACGTGCTCGATTGGGTGGTACTATTATAGCCAACCTCGCGATCACGAGGATTCGGGAGGACGCAGAGGTACACTATTCATAGCTGTGTTTTCCGGAGTCGATATACATGCGTGTCTCAAGCCCTTCGAGAATGGTATCCGCATTCTGTGGTTGTGTTTTCTGGTCCACAGCATCTTCTGTGCCGCAGGATGCAGAGATTATGTGACCAGATCATCCTTTCAAGGCTCGTGCTCTGCGAGTGTGACCTCGGTGTGGACGAGAGGGGAGTCTTGGTGCGAGTCTGTTCGCTGAAGTCGACCGTGACTCCGGCTTTCAACCCTTCTCCCTGAGCCTCGCAAGGGCTGCGGCAATCCCATCACTCAGTTGTTCATCTCCGCGCGAGACTGCTGCGGCCGGGGGCTGCGGTGTACCCTGGGCAGGGGCTCGTGATGCTGGCGTAGCCGACGGTTTCAGCGCACTCTGCGCAGAACTTCCTGATGCCGTAGGAGCCGATGGCTTTGGTGCATTCCGACCGGAACTTCCCGATATCGCAGGACCTGATGTCCCCGATGCGCCGTGACGGGAAGATTGAACAGCCGCCTCCGCCGCAAACAAAGCCTCCAGCTCCTCATCCTCCTCCAACGGCACATTCCCATCTCCCCTTGACGAAGAAACTGCCCCATCCCCAGCTCCCCTCGACGACGAAGCAAAATCACCCCTTCCCACATCCACCGCCACCACCCTCCTCGTCGCGCTCCTCCTCCCCGCCTTCCTAACCCTAAACGGCTCCTCCACAACCTTACACCAAGCCTTCACCTTCCTCTCCCCCCACCCCCCCACCATCGCAACCTGCTCCGGATCCGCATTCACCGCATGCCTCAAGCTCCCAAACGTGCTCACCAGCGCCACCGCATCCGCCTTATTCACACTCCTCGGCACCGTCACAAACTCCACCAGCTTCTCCGCATACCCCGTCGCCTGATGCCCCTGGATCGCTGAAAAGCCCGCATGCTCATACGACTTGTAGAGCTCCAGATAGCGCGCAGCCTCGGCGGCGGACCAGCACAGGATGACGGTGACGTTGTTGACGAGGGAGGTCTTTGACAGTTCGCGCAGGGAGTCCTCGTGGTTGGGGATGTCCACCATGGTGAGCAAGATGCGCAGGTTGAATTTACCCTGGAGGTTGCGGATGCGCGTGTAGATGTACTCGGGGTGGAGGCGGTGGTATTTAAGGCTGGGTGTTGTGAGTATGTGTGACAGTGAAAGGGGGATGTGAAAGGGAGAATCTCACCTGAGGAAGAGCGCGCACGTGGTCAATCCTAGGCCGTAGTCGGCGGGAATATCGCTGTATTCCCAAGGCACGGATTTTAAGCATGTTAAGACGGGATTGCCTTTTTGCCTTGGTGAGACCAAGATGGATGACCCGGATGAGCGAGTGGGCAGCGCTTGTGGAGTCGGCTGCACAATCTTGGGCCCTAAGGCGCTCGTTGCGGCGGGAGGCGGCGCTCTATCCAGTCGCTGTGGCACCGGCTGCTGGATCTTTTGGGGCACCGGCTGTCGCGGCT